TTGATTGCAGGTGCTCGGTACAAGGTGACAGGGGCCTTCTTCTCGCCTAATTAAAGCTCTGTTCTGCGCTCTGATTGGACCGCTCCCCCTCACACCGCCGCACGCATTAAGAGAAGAAGAGAAAGGAGAGGTCAGCCAACAAAGCCAGGTTCAACAACAAGATGAAGAACTGTGGTAGATAGAGAACAGAAGAAGAGGTGATGGGAAAATCAGTTAGGATACATCTGGAAATAATGAAGGAAAAAACATTTAATTAAGTTCTCAAATTATATTTAGGTTTGTTTAAATTGTATTTTCCTCCCATGAATTTGTCACAAAATACAGTTTGGCTCCAACAAATAATAAGCTCTCAAGAATGTATTTTTTTTGTATTTGTTTAAATCAGTTTTGTAATTGAATAGCCAGTGACATTCACCTGCAGGCAGTGATGGGAAGAAAATTACTTTCTCAAAAATATACCTGGAGTTGTCTTTTGTTTCATTGACACATGTTTGATGTTTAACCTTTTAAGTCTGTCTGCATCTCCAAAGCTCAACATGCTCTGTTCCACCTTGTGATGTCAAGAAGCAGTTTTCAAGTTAACAATTACCTTTTACTTTTTGTTCAATAGAAATAGGCAATTCCAGGACTGAAATGATCCACATGATTCTAGTAAAGGTGTTTGAAGTTTAAAAAGACAGTGGAGCACTTCCTGTAACATGACAACACAAGGTGGAATAAAGAGTGTTTGAGTGATGAACTTGTGTGTTAAACGTGTGTGTGTGTGTGAGTGACATCAAAACTCCAGGCATGTTTGTGACAAAAAAACATAACATAGTTCAGAAAATAGCTTAATATAGGCCCTTTAAAACAAATTCCAATACATGTCCCAATCAGAGTACTGTTTTCTGAGTACTTAGAAAACTACATTCACACTGAGTTGCATTATATTAACGTGTCAAAATGAGATAAAGTATTACAACTGCTTTATGTTTGTCGCTATGCTTTTATTTATCTCTAATTACAAGAGAAAAATCACTCATGCACACACTACAAGAGCAGTGTTTTCATTTTTTTCTTACTAATTACGTCAGTTTGAAGTCTAAATTGCAGTATTCCTTTGATTTTAGGAAAGTAACTTCAAATATCTCCAAATCAAAGAGGCACTGTAATAAATTAAGTACCTCAAAATTTGTATTCTAAATATGTATTTTCGGTACATGTCTTTAGTTACTTCCCAGCACTGCCCGTAGGCCTGTAAACAAACTCCTGGATTTCCTTGTGATCTCCACTCAGCCTCTGGAGTGTGCGGTGGGCTTTGAGCAGAAGCATGGATCATAATTGGCACAGGAGTAAAGGACTGGTAAAGGAGTTACTAGAGTGTTATTGTTAACTTGTTTTAAGACTAGTTTTTGCTCAAAAAGCCCTCAGTGACTTATGTTGGTCAGGTTTTGTACTCTTGCAGTTACATGTGATTAGATCTTAAAATGATTCCATTACAATCCCATGGAGGAACATAACAAAATTCAGTACAAATCTTTATCAAAATCATTACATTTGAAGCTTTATTGACCTCAAAATCCGCACAAATTCCTTTTAGTTTTTACTCGTGATGTACCTTTTAAAACCGGTACTTTAATACTTAAGTAAAATTTTTCATGTGATATTTTTTGTGATATTAATTTGAGTACTTCCTTCACCACTGGTACTATTAATATGTATTTACACACAGAAAAGTGAAGTTCCCAGTGGCACAAACCCAGTGTCTTTGTCTTTCTCTGGTCTACACTCGTGGAGCCTCCCAATAATTATAGTGGTTTGCCTTAAATCTCTGTAATGACAGCCTCTGTGTCTGCTCTCTGTTTAATTCATTATTCACTAAATAAGCCCACTTGCTGTTTAAATTACAACTGTTGTGCTGATCTGCCACAGAAGGTTACATACAATGTGAAATACTATTATTTATCCACATTCCTACTTACAAAAACTAAAACTGGCTTCAAGTTTAGTTTTGCAAATGCATTCTTGCAAAATCTGCAGACAGTTTGGTTAAAGTCTGGCTCATTTGAAAAAACTATAATTACAATCAGAGGATTATGTATGCAAGTGGAATAAAGAGGTGTAGCTGGGTCTGTGTTATATTCTTAAAATGTGTCTAGCTGTCCACTTTTAAGGTGATAAGAGATGGCTGAACTCCAAAAGCCCTGTATATTTTTTGGACAGTTTGTCACTGACTCTTTATTTTCGGTTTATCCAATTCTTCTGGATTGTTTTGCATGAATGAGAGATTACACCAAAACTTTCCCTAAAACACAAAATGCTAATCTGTTGTGATCATTCAGAGATCAAGACTCAAAATTATGGTTTTCATGGATCCAGACAGTAAAATTTAGAGACCAGGTTTTTGCTGTTAGAAATAACAGACTTGAATGCAACAAACTGCTTCCTCCCTAATTCAGACATTTAGAGTTGACTTACAAATATACTTTACTATATACTGCTATATGTCAGTTCAGGAAGACATTGAGGAGGGAAGCAGCCAGACTCATCCCATTTGATTTGGAAAATATGCTACAAAACTGTTCTTTTTAACACTTATAGGTCAAAAATTGATTCTTGTGTTAGAATGTTGTTACCTCATCAAAAACATACCTTTAGTTGTGTTTTGTTTCATTCACACATTTGATTAATGTATTAGTCCAGGTGTCTGCAACCTTTTTCCTCCTGTGAGCTACTTTCGTAAAACGAAAATGCCAGAGAGCTACTAATTTTAGTACTCGCTAGAAATTTAGTAAATTTAAGAGCCAGGGTAACCTGTAGATGAGGTACAGTTAGAGGCTTACAAATCATAACCCATTATCCTGTATTCAGTACACAAAATTAGGCATCAAAATGAAACATTGACAATGAAAATAGGCATTTAATCAATCAAATGTGAGTTATTCAGCTCAATATGTATAATTCAGAAATCCCTTGGCGAGTTACTTGGAAGTGGGTGGGGATCTACCAGTAGCTCCCAAGCTACAGGTTGGAGACCCCTGTATTAGTCTGTCTACATCTCAAAAAGCACAAAATGCTCTTTTTCACCTCGTGATGTCATGAAGCGGTAGTTCCAGGGCTGAAATCATCCAAATGATTCTACTGAAGGTGTATGGAGTTTAAAACCTCAGTGGAGCACTTCCTGTATAACCACATGACACATGAATCACAAGGTGGAACACAGTGTTTTCTGTATGATAGAACAACACAGCCTAAATAAGCAGGGTGGGTATGTGTTAAACATGTGTGAATGAAACAAAACACAACTCCAGATGTATTGTGATGAGTAAAAACATTATACCAAAATAAATAAATAGTACAATATGGGCCCTTTAAGCGGGCCTTTGTTTTGGTGTTTTGGTGTTCTTGTAGAACATCCAACTGTAAAATGGCAAGAGCATGCTGAACAAAAACTCACCTGAAACCCCTGTGGTCAATAATTTGTTTACACAATCAAAAAATAAAAAGTGAAAGATAATTGAATCAGAAAATGATGTTGTATGAAAACCTGAATCATATCTTGGATCTATTTCCTGATAACATGCAAAGTTATTCTCACATAAAGGGTCGGGCATGAATAATTTCAGTCATGGCCCCAAGTCTAACAAAATGAACAGTTCCATATAAGCACATCCAACATTATGAACAAAATGAACGCTTTACATGACAGCTGTTGAATAAAATGAATAGATTACTCTCTTGGATTTAATCATAGGGGGATAATCAAAGTGAAAACCTGGTCTTGGTGCATATTAAGAACTGCAAAAAGAGAATGATTTAAAAGGGCCCTTATTATTCTGTTTTCTGGTCTTTTTTATAAAGTTATTTCCTCATCACATACATACCTGGGGTTGTGTTTTGTTTCATTCACACATGTTTAACACCCTGCATATTTAGACTGAGTTCTTCTCTCAAACAGAAAACACTGTTCCAACTTGTGATGTCATGTGGTGATACAGGAAGTGAGCCACTGTGTTTTTAAACTCCATACACTTTCACTAGAAACATTTGGTTAATTTCAGATTGGAGCTGCCTATCTCTACTGAATGAAAGATTAAAGGGGAGCTGTTAACTTGAAAACTACCACTGCATGACATCACAAGGTGGAATAGAGCATATTGAGATTTGGAGATTTATACAGACTAATGATGCAGGGTTACTCCTACTCATTAGTCAACATGAATGAAGCAAAACTCCAGGTATGTTTTTGTTGAGGTAACAGCATTATAACATGGCTTAAAGCTCACAAGAGTCAGTTGTGCGTAATTTTAACAATTTGTGTAAAAAAGCGTGAAAAGTTGTAACTATATAGGCTACAACATACAGAACACTCCCTCATCCCGTATCTTTCCATCGCTGCATCTGATAAGCTCTAAGTGAGACGTGGCACGCCTTTAACTTTAAGACGGGCTCGGGAGGGAGGACGCTGAGGCGCAGTACCCGGCGCGTATTGGTGCGTTTTATCCCAGCCTTGCCGCCCTTCTCCCGGGCTCTGTTGCACTGCCGAAGCGAGTGGACAACACCTTGAAAGTAGGCGGATGAAAACGACATGACTTCATCACGTTTTTGATCGCACTGTAAAAATAAACTCATTTTTTGTAGCCAAGTTAACCATGTGCGTAAACGTGATCGTGGAGATTTTGGCCGCGTAATAAAATGTGCAAGATTTGTGATGAATTATTATTAAAATAGGCTATTGAAGTAAAATATGTTTCTAACTAACTGGCAAATATATTGTAAATGGATTGTGCTTCGTAATTAATCCTCTAATTGCAAAATGACATTGATGGAGATGGTCAGATGGACAGATTTGTAAGTTGAGTGCCGTTTGGAGAAAGAGAGAGAGCCGGACGCATGACATCATTCTCTCAGCTTCCCCTGCGCGGGCACACACGCACGTACACGCACGCACACGCACGCACACGCCGCTCTCTCCGCTTGCGCACGGTGGTGGTGGTGGCTGCTGCTGCTGCTGAGGGAGCTGAGTGAGGTCCTCCTCCTCTGAGCTGTGCCAGACGCGTCCCGAGCAACCTGCGCTCCTCGGCTGGATTTTAAAATTACACTGAAACAATCACAAGAGACGCACCACCGCGCATCACGCACCCTCACCGGACTTGCACCCGGGACGCAGACGTTTAACGCGAGGATTATTGTTTGTTTTAACCATGAAGACGTGAAGGGTTTAAAAAAGCTGGAGAAAGAGCGACCAACTCCTCAACGGTAAGCGCATGCCACCTCTTGTTACACTTTGCGACACTTTTTCCTCTAAAATGTGAACGTTTTCTGCAAATGTGACTCCTGCAACATCTGAGCGTTCCTGTTCACGTCCGTAAATGGGACCGTGCGTTTAGAATTGTGCAGAGAATCTCATCCAAACGGCACCGCGGGGCTCTTGCTATAATGAAACACGCTTTGTGGTCCCGGACTCAGTGGGAGACGCGACAAGGCAGCTCCTATAGCCGCTCATTCCACAGTAACGCGGATTTCCATCACTCCACAAACGACCGACGCGTAGGTGCATTCTCCATTTCAATAGTCCCCCGTGGAGAATTCCCAAAATGAAGCAAGCCTCGCCTCCCCCCCTTCTGCTCAATCCCCCCGGTTGTCTTTGGAGCTCGTGGATGTTGCGCGTGGGGCGGAGGTGTGTTTAGAAGTGGGCTCGTCATTTAAGTGCACCTCTACGCGTTAGGGTGTTTGATTAAGCAAGTGTAGTGGAGCTATGCGTTGCTTTTGTCGTAAAGAAACGGAAATTCCCGCGTATGGCGATATTGATCAGACCCACGCGCCGTAGCTCCTCACTCAGATGAAGCGACTAAACTGAGAAATGCTCGCGTTCTGAGAGCTCCGTGCTTTGCTGCTTTTGGTGCTGTCTCCACACACCCCAGTGAGCGGGTTTGGAGTTTGCGGATCACGCGCTCATCACTGGAGTTTATTCTCCGTGCACCGCTCCATCCATTGCCCCATCTTCCTCTTTCACAGAGCCTGATTTGATAATAGCAGCATAAGAAATCCGTTACAATCCACGCTGGAACCTCACCTTAATATTGCTATAACAAAGAATATCATGCCTTGCGTAATGTAAGCAAACATCCAAATGTAATTTTCAGACTTGTTGCCTCGTTTTGTTAGATAAATTAATTTACTATTCCTACTATTTGCATACAATAAGGCTTAATTGCATTTCATTTATACGGATCCCTAGTTTTAAAATCTTCAAGCTGTGCGTTTTTTCTCTCTCTCTCTCTCATCACTCCCGTTTCTACCCCACTGAGTACAGCCCGCATCCATGCTCAGCTCATAAAAGCCAAGGAGAGAAAGAAGAGGGAACAATATCTCGCCCTCGCCCTGGTTGTTAAAAGAAAATGGCTTTATTCATTTTTCTCTGTACCCGTGCTAACTTAGTTATAGCTTTTTATGGTGCCTGCAAATGGCTACAGGCTCACGCTGCAATGTAATGTAATCAAATTTATGATGTTGCTGTGTATTACAATTCCCTGTTATGCTCCATCACATGAGAAATTTGGACTGACCCCCCCTCCTCTCCTTTCACAACAATACCACACCCCCTTGTTGAGTCAGCCCATTACCTAAATTAACCAAGATTATTTGACTAAACCCAATGGATTTACTGTATCATCTGTCATAGTCATATTTTCCTTCTTCATAATGTCAAGTTGCTTTTTAAGGACGGCTTTAGAGAAACAATGTTCTGGATCAGTTTTCCGTTTTTAAAGACTTGCTTAGTCCACACGCCAGATCGTAGAAAGTTAAAAAATTTGGCAACAATAAACACAAAATCCTCTCCGTCACACGCAGAGCTGCCATTAGAGTCCCACGTTCTTTTATTCGTTTTAACACATTCACACGTTTTGCTTCAGTTTTGGACAGCTGAGAGACACTTAAGACGACTGGCGAAGAGGCTGTGCCCATCTGTAGATAATGCTCGCTAACCTGGGCAGGAGAAATCACTCACTCCCCATTTAATGCTGTCTTCACTCCAGACATGCAGAAGGACAGCCATTATTGGAGTCTTTCCCTCAAAGCTAATGGGCTGGATAGGTTTTATGAAGCGTTCCCCCCGCACGCCGCATTGTTCACAGCACGATCAAGTACCCGTGTTGGACATGCTCAGAGGCCTGTTTAAATAGCCCTATTTATATCCTACGGGGCAATTAAAAGAGGGAAACAAAGCAAAAAGTGCACACTAAACAATCATGGAATTATATAGGATGCCGTATTCGGAAGTGTGACATTCTCTAGCCTACAGTTTTAGCACAGCAGATTGAATGTAGGCTGGTAGTTTTCAGCAACACGTTCCAAAATAGACGATATATTTTTTTGTTAAACGTTCATGTTTCTATAGCACATATTTTTTCATAATGATTTGCCACGATTCTGATGTTTTTCACTCTTAAGAACGCATCTAATTTCATTTATTTATTGGGCTTGGTGACAGATTTCCACTTGAATTTGTGTTCTGTGTTATGATAATGTAAGTCTTGTCAAAATATCTGAAGTGGATAATGTGAAATTGCGTTTGGTTAGGTTTTGTGTATTTCATTTCTTCATGAAGAAATTTGGTCAGTAGCATTAAAGGTGCATTGTGTAAATTTTCTAGTGGAGGGTCCGTCAAAAGCTTTTCTCTGTGGAGATGTTATTGCTTTGTCTGGATTTGTACACACAGTATGGTTAAACCTTTCTATCTTCATGGAGACTAGGTCAGATCTGTGGAGGGCCAACCCCACTCACAGTCAGAATGCCTGTTTCTCTAGGTATTTTTTAGTATTAGAAACACCTGTAATTGAACAAATGTAAGGTAGAGCTGTTTAATGTCATACTGTGGAACATTTCAGGCACAGCAATGACATATCCATAGAAACAAGACCAAAAAGTTACACAGTGCACCTTTAATATAACATACAGACATGGCATAACATAACAAAAAACAAAAAGAAAAGCAAAAAACTGGACAATATTCAGTCACTCAGGCTTGACACATCTGCACAATCAGTCTATGTTGTCAATACATTTTGTGGTCTGGGGTACGAACAAGTTTTTATACCTGTTAACTACAGATGCCCTTCCTTAAACAGTGCTCAACATTTAATAAAGCTTGGGGAGCAAGTTAAAACACATGCACTCTAGCTACATTATAAATAAAACCATGCATTTTTTTCAGTACCAAACTAGAAAATTGACCTATTTATTCTGCAATCTATGACTGCAAATGAAAGAATGTGAGAATTTGAGTCAGAAGCCTTTCCAACATGGCTTGGGACCAGTACAAACTTGACCTGTAACATAGTTGGATTTGGATCTTAATGCTTTCAGCAAAAGAAATCGCAGATAGCTCATATTGACCCAAACTACCATGGATTTTTGAGCACGTTCCCCCTTTTCCGCACAATCCATTCCAAGCAGAAATCAATCGGGGCACGTCTCAGTATGTATGAGATGGGTGATTGGATGACAAGCTCAAGTTGAGTTTTTCCTCCCCCTGCAGCTCTACCTCTTCATCACCTGTCAGCGGTCCGGCCAGCGCAAATAAATGCACACACGTGAGGCAGCCCATTCCTCAACACAAATTACTCATGCACATATACTTTTAATACATTAACGATATAAGTCGTTTACAGCCAATGCGGCAGTGAGACCATGAGTGAGCCAAGCGTGTGGTCAAGTCATTAGAGGGGGAAGTGGATGAGTGCTGCTTGTAAAAATGGAACCTTTGCAGATAAAATAAAGCCACGGAAGCCAAATGGTAAAAAGTACTGCTTAAGTACAAGAGCATATCTTAAGTTATGCGTACATGCTGGTTGTCATGGGAGTAACTACTTTTTACTTACAGAGGAACTGCAAGATCTGCTACACAGTTTTAGTTAAGTACTTATACAGAATCGCATGTATATCGTCCATCATACTCTCTGCCTTTCCAAAAATGTACAAAAATTATTACTCAAAGGTTCATTACCTAACTGGAGGGTTTGCTACCTGCTTGTATCCATGGAGTTGTTGTGTGTGTGAATGCTCCACAGTATGACATTAAGCTTCTCCATCTGAATAGAGACAAACAGGTGACACCAACAGGTATGAATGCATGTTTTTCAATGAAATTTTGAGCACTAAATGTGCCTATAACTCAATAGAAGCAGGACAGACAAGTTTAATGCTATACTGAGGAACATTTTGGGCAAAGAAATAAATCTCCCTGGGGTCAAGCATGTGGCGGACACTTGCTTATTATAAATGTTACTACTATTTTACAAAGGTTTAGGTTCTTATGACTGTATTATATCTTTATCCTGTATTAGAGATCAGAGATGGGGACTTGCAAGTTGTGACTTGGAGTCACTATTTTTAGGACTTGAGACTTGACTTGATAAAATGGAGTAAGACTTGGGACTCGATTTGGACATAAAAGTCAGTGACTTGGGACTTGACTTGGACTTGAGGCCTGTGACTTGAGAAGACTTGAGAAGCACTTTTAAATCTACATTCTTTCTATTCTGACCATAATGATTCACACTAAGATCTCATCAAGACATTTAAAAAGGAAAAATTAACATTTCTACAACTCTTATATATTCTATAAATACTTATATATAAATATACTATGTTTTTTTAAGAACAGTTTAGTTTAAAATTCATATAAATTGTAAAAATCTAAGCTATATTTGGTACTTTGGTTTAAAGACTTGAAATGACTTGAAGCTCAAAGCAGATGACTTGGACTTGACTTGGAGTTATGGACCAGTGACTAGAGACTCAACTTGGACTTGCCTGTATTTGACTTGGGACTTGACTCGGACTTGAGGTCAAAGACTTGAGACTTACATTAGACTTGCAAAACAACAACTTGGTCCCACCTCTGTAACAGATAGACCATACGTTGGTTGGCCGATATTTGCACTTTTTCGATTATGGCCTATCATCCTTAAATCTCCAGCACAGGCCGATATTTTATTTTGACTAATCTGTTGCCTAAAGAGTACACACAAAGCTTTATTTTAACATTTTAATGTGAAGAGATAACTGCACAGTACATGACTACAGCAGTCAGTAGTAATGTACAGCAGTAAATTTTAATAGCATAATTTGGGGGAAATAATAAAAACAAAACTACTTATTTGCCCAAAAATATCAGCTGCTCTGGAGTCTTAACAATCTGCATCAGTATCAACCATATCCTGTATCCCATTCAGTGATACCATAATAGAAAT